TAACTCAGAATGATCATAGATGCAATCCTCATGACCTTAGATTAGGCAATGGTTTCTTAGCTATAACATCAAAACCACAAGTAACCAAAGAAAAAATATTGGGCTTCATCAAAATTTTCTAATTTTATTTTCAAAATAATATTCAAATGATATCATCAAGAAATTGAAAAGATGACCCACAGAAGGGGCGTAAAGTTTTATAAATCATGTATCTGATAAGGGTCTAGTATTCAGAATATGTAAAGACTTCTTACAACTCTACAATACAAAGACAAATAACCCAATGGAAAATGGGCAAAGGATCTGAACAGACCTTCCTCCAAAGAAGACATGCAAAAGGCCAATAAACACATGAAAAGATGCTCACATTATTACTCATTAGGGAAATGCAATTCAAAACCACAATGAGTATCCTCTTCAAACCAAGTAGGATGGCTATAACAAACAAAACAAAACAAAACAATAACAAGTGTTGGTGAGAAACTGGAACCCTCACACACGGGTGGGAGTGTAAAATGGTGCAGCTGCTGTGTAAAAGTTTGGTGGGTCCTCAAAAAGTTAAACATAGAATCACTATATGACTCAGCAATTCCACTCCTTCAGTATATACCCAAGAGAACTGAAAACATACAGTCAACACAAAAACGTGAACACAAATGTTCATGGCAGAATTATTCATAATAGTCAAAAGTACAAACAACCCAAATGCCCATAATCAAAATGTAGAATATCCATGCAATAAAATATCATTTACCATAAAAAGGAATGTAGTGATCTATGCTGTAACATGGATGGTTTGTGTAAACATGCAAAGTGAAAAAAGCCAGATAAAAAAGGCCATGTTAAATGATTCCACTTACTTTGTCTAAAACAAGCAAATTGAGAGAGAAAGTAGATATGAGTCACTGCCAAGGACTGCAGGGAGCAGGCATGTGAAATGGGGAGCTACTGCTAATGAATATGGGGTTTCTTTTTGGGTGATGGAAACATTCTGGAATTAGATAGTGGTGACAGATACACAACTTTGTGAACACACTAAAAACCGCTGAATTATATACACTTTAAAAGGGTGAATTTTATGGTATGTGATTTATATCTCAATTTTAAAAACTAAATGGGAAGGGGATTATGGCGTATCATGATTGGTGCACATGGTGTGTGTGGGGTCACGGGGAAGACAGTGTAGCCCAGAGAAGACAAATAGGGACTTTGTGGCACCTAGCTACACAGATGGACAGTGACTGCAATGGGATACAGGGTGGGACTCGATAATAAGGGTGAATGTAATAACCACATTGTTTTTCTTGTGAAACCTCCATAAGAGTATATATCAATGATACCTTAATAATAATAATAATAATAATAAAAAAAACTAAATAGAAAAAAAGCCTCTAAGCAACCAAAATACAAATCATACTGTATGATCATACTGTAAAGCCATATGTTCTCTTTTACAAGAAAAAAATGTTGATTCTTACCTGAAATTTATATACTCTCACTTTACATATAATTTGTACAAACCTGGCTGTATGGATTCAAAGCCTGTAATGCATTAGAAACTTTGTATTAGGGGAAATAAAATTGATACAGACAGATATACTGACAGTATAAGGTTTTAAAAAAGGCAGAAGAACTTGCAAGCGTAGTATAAAGTCATTTAGTAAGGGCAAATTCTTTATTAGGTCCTGGCAGTATCACTGATACAATAATCTATGCTCATAGTAATAAAAATAATGTGGTAATAGAGATGAGGGCTAACCCACTTATCACTTCTGTTGTGCCAACCACTATTCTAAGTACTGAACATTTAGTTTCTCATTTAATAATTCCTAACAACCCTACAAAGATAGTACCACTATTATAGCAAACAGAAGACAAGTAGTGATTCTATAGCATCTTTCTATGCTGATGGACAGCGACTGCAGTGGGATATGTGGTGGGGACTTGATAATGGGGGAAATCTAGTAACCACAATGTTGCTCATGTAAGTGTATATTAATGATACCAAAAGAAAAAAAAAAGATAGTATTACTATTATCTCATTTTACAGATGAAGAAACTGAGGGACCACATAGCTAAGTAAGTGGCAAACTTAAGATTCAAACTCAGGCATTGTCCATCTTCCTAACCAGCACACTATATTGTCTCTCAGTGATGAACTATCAGTCATTAAAAAAAGTTAAACAATGTTTAGTATGCTCTAAGAAGACTGGAAAATCTACAAGTTTTATTTCACTATGAAAACACTCTTAAAAACTGTTCCATGGCGGTCTATTACCTCTAGGAGAATGATGAAAGGTGAAGAACAGTTACAATCTGACTCTAACCTGTATTTCCAGCTTATCTATCTTACCCAATTCTAGCCAAATCTAGACTGCTCATGTTCTATACAGCCTGCATTTTCATGCCACTGTTTAAAGGCCTTTTTCACTTCTGGAAAATTCCTATTTATCCTTCAAAACCTAGTTCAAGTACCACTTCATCTGTACCATCTTAGACTCTGATGCCACTAGGCAAAACGTGTTCACACACCATTTTGTACTATCTCTACTAAATCATTTATCACATTACATCATAACTGAATGCTAAACTCTCCTTCTCACCCCCTAGCATTACCTAGTTCACTGCAGATGGTAAATTAAATTTTAAAGTTTTGGTACCTAACAGCTATTTTTTTAAAAACTCAGCAATACAAAATGACTAGTTAGCTAAGGTCCCTATAGTCAAGTTTTTAATAAAAGTCATGAAATTTAAATATTTAAATGAACAGACTTCATTTTCATATAAATCAGAAGCTACAAAGGTTCCTCTAAATTGAATTCAGTCACCAGAAATCTTTTTTTAATTTGAAGTATAGTTGATACACAATCTTACATTGGTTTCAAATACACAACACAGTGCTTCAACAGTTACCCATAATATTAAATCCTCACCCCATGTAGTGAGGTTACAACATAGAAAGATGGTTCTAGGGCACCACAGAAAGATGTTACAGAATAATTGACTATATTCTCCACGCTGCTACCATCCCCATGACCAACTTATATTGTGATTACGAATTACCAGTCACCAGACATCTTTTAAAGAAAAAAAGACTGATACTCTGGACCAAACCTGAGTAATTTGTTGCAGTAAAGGTAATATGATTAACGATGTGGCTAAATTGCTAAATTTTAAGTGAGAGATGAAGGTTTCCAAAATCTAAGCCAACAGTCAAAAGGAGTGGGAGGCTACCAGGATACCATTTGCTGAGTTACTGCTTGAGTCTTGCATGCTAACTTAATGCCCTCAGAAATTACTGTCCCTCCTAATTCATGTCACTCCTCAAGAGTAATTTACTCCCCAAAAAGTTCTAGTGGAATTTACACTTTGTTACTTGTTCTAGAAGAGTTAACATTTATTTCCAACTCAACAAAACCAAACACCAACTATACCTACAATCAATCTACCTCTCTCCCAGTATGTGACTAACAAACAAGCTAGAACATACAGGATAGCCAACAGTTTAAAGTATTTAACAAATACCAAAGAACACATAGTGGTTCCTCAAGTATTTATTGAATTAACTGCATTTGCCAACATCTATTCCACATGAAGTCACTTTACCTGTAAAAGAAATGTCATTTCAGTTTGCTTTATTACCAAAACCAAGAACATTACTGAGATTCCCACTCCTCCAACACCAAAAGCAATGGTGCAAGTTTTCCCTACATGTATGTACAACAGTAACAATGTTATACACAGCAGTAATAGTAGTGTAACTTCATTCAGGTACCCAGACCCGATTCCAATGTGTGTAGGTATGTGGGAGGGGGTTTTTCCACACATAACCTAACACCAAGCAATTCTCAAACACCAGCAGGGTATTGGAGAACTCAATTCTGATGCTATCTGCCCAGAGACAGCACCAGATTCCCAAGTTAAGAGCTCCGTCCTACAAGACTTCCCCACCCCCGACTCCAGATACAGGTCGCAAGTCCCAAGCAGTTACCTGTGCTTCTGACCTACTGGCTACAGATTGGAGGTTCCCCCTTAGGTTTGTTTAATTTGCTAGAGCAGCTCACAGAACTCAGGAAAACACTTATGTTTCCCAGTTTAACAAAGGATACTGTACAGGATACAAATTACCAGCCCGGTGAAGAGAGACACAGAGCAGGGTCCCAGATAAAGGAGCTGCTATCCTCTTGGAGCTTGGGACCTGGTTTAGCGGCCTGTGGAGGAGCTCTGGTTCCCCAGGCATAGAAGCTCTCTCTGACCAAGAAACAGGATCCAACCAAGCAGAGCAGAGAGAGAGAGAGAGAGAGAGAGAGAGAGAGAGAGAGAGAGAGAGAGCGCTCTTCCCATGGGTTTTCTGAGGGCTTGTTGCAGTCATAGTTGACTGAGTTACTGACTATGGGCTGATTCAGGCTCCAGCCCCTGCCCTTGGGTGGAGGTCCAACAGTCTCTCATTAACATGACAAAACACCTGTTTCACCTTTAAGACTGCAGTGTTTTCAGAAACTGTGCATGAAGACCAAATACACCTGGGAAATATATATTTGATCATATGAATGACCAAATATGTATTTCTTATAACTCATAATAACACAATTATCTAAACCATCGCTTAATTTTTTCCCCGCTATCCTATACTTACAACCACCTAACAGGCTACAGCACTAGCAGAACTGACCTCCTGCTATTCACTTCCGACTGTAACTTGACCCAACCTTCTTTCTTTCAAACGTTCACCTGTCCAAAAACTTTCATGATCAAGGACCTACTGTCTCCCCTCAACTCCATGACCGTAAAATGGCTTTTCAGAGGTGAACAAATTTATCAAAGCTAGGGATGGTTCAAGACTTTCCAAGGCAACCTTTTATATAAAATATACCTTTAAATCAAGTGTCAGCTTTGCATTGCTGCTGACATACAATTAAAACCAATCCAACTACTTGTATGAGTTACCCATTCAGGCAGTCACAGACCTGAATAAATATTTGTGTAGTATTCTCCATTACCTAGGCTGAGAATTCTCTTCATACATTCTTTCTTTCCCCTCTTTGAAGAGGCTTATGGTCTGCTTAGTTTTCTTCATCAAATTCTCCATGAACACCCTAAAATACTCATTTTCTCCAAGTGTCTCCATCTTCCCCTCATATCTTGACAAGACAGTCCGGAGATGCTGGTAGGAATCAGGTAGCAGGTCTAAGATATAAGGTGGGCTGTTTTTTAGCGCCAGCTTTGGGTTCTGACACAACCGTACCACCTGCAACAAACAGAAAAGAAAGGCTATTACTTGAAGCATCTTAAGGACAATTTCCTTTTTGAAGTTTAAAAGAATGTTATAAAATATGTGCTCTTTTGCAGAAATATGAAAAATGCATAAGACATTTAAGAAATGATCCCTGACCCTCCCTGCCAACAGGCAATCATTTTACATTTTTAGTGGTCCCCCTAAAAGAGAGGGTGCTTAAAACTGTTCAGACAACACAGTATACTAAACACGGGGTGGGCAGTCCGGGGGAAATACATTGCACTAATACCTGAAAAATGCAAGGTGAAATATGACAAATTCCTTTTAAATGTATGGCTCACTTCACAAAACAAAGAAAATTCCCAGGGCAGAAACAACACATGGCTGCCCTGGAGGTAAATCTCCATAATGTAGGGGCAGGAGGAGTTTTAACAACCACTAGGGACCCAGACCCAGCAAAGTATGGAGTCTATACCATCCTTTCCCATATAAGAGCAGGACCCTCAGAATTTTCCATCTTTTACTTTCATCTTTTTTGAACTCTTATGTATTAAGTGAGTTTCTTTTAAAAAATATTGTGGATAAAATGAGAGTTCCTGTGGCCAGGATTCTCACCTGGCCATGGTTGACTAGCTCACTGCACACCTGTGGGCAATACATGGCTGTTGACTCTATATAGAGAGCTCCGCTCTGTGCGACACGGTGGCAGGGCTGCAAGGCTGCAGGAAAGCAGAGCAGAGCAGAGGCTGGAGTGGTGGCAGTGCTGAGGACAGAGGCCCAGAGGACGGCTGTGCGGGACAACTGTGCAGGCAGGGAGGCCCAGAGGACGGCTGTGCGGGATGGCTGTGCAGAGAAGCCCAGAGGACAGCTGTGTGGACAGAGGGGCCCAGAGGCAGAGACTGGCTTGCTGCATACAGACTCGCTCTGAGTGAATGGGATTCTAGTGACTGGCCTGCCACCTGGAAATAAAGTTGGGTATAACCCTTTCATCCCAAAGAGCATTCTGCTGTCAATTTTCTTTGGTCACATTGAATCCATAGCGAATTTGCCCAGGGCTGAAACCCATTGGCAAGACAAATATGTAACTAGATTTTTAAAAACCAAGGTAACAGTCTTTGTTTTTAATTGGTGAGTTTACAGTTTATATTTGTGCTTATTCCTAACACCTTATTTTATACTTTCCATTTACATGGGTTTTTCTGTGTCAGGGAAAGACAATAATTTCATGGAACAGAAAAATCTAGAAAGAGATCCACATGTATATACTCCATAAACTTATCACAAAGGAGTGGTCTTTTCCAAAAGTAGTAGTGGAACAGCTGGGTATCCATAATGCAGGGCAGGGAATCACACTAAACCTTAACCTTACACTATACCAAAAACAATTAACAAACAAAAAACTAGATGGGTTCTTGTAGGGAAAATATAAGTTCCTATGGCCAGAATCCTCACCTGACCCTAATCTATTTGCCCACTGAGCACATGAAATAATGTAACTGGCCTACTGCATGGTAGATGCTTACACACCTGTTGGCAATGACCCATAACGTAAAGAGCTCGCAGGGAGGCAGAGATGGAGACACATCGCAGACTTTCCAGATGTAATTCTAGCACTTGACCTGCCACCCCAAGAATAAAGCTTGATATATAAAGCTTGATATAAACACTTTTATCCCCAGCGTCCCATTGTTGTTATTCCATCTCACTGAATCCAGAGTGAACTTGCCTGGGGCTGAAACCCTCTGGTGAGACTGTCATAGACCCAAATGTACAGGGCAAATCTATAAAGTCTTAGAAGATAACATAAGAAAATTATCTTCATGACTTCATGATAGAGAAAAGTTTCTTAAACAGGACCATAAATAGCATTAATGATAAAGGAAAATATTAATAAAATTATACTACTTTAAAAGAACTTATCAAGACACCATATAAAGCAAAAATGCATGTACAGAATCAAAGATATTTGCAATCCATATATATCCAGATGTATAGATCCAAAATACAAAGAAATATCTTGGAGATACTGCAGGTTCAGTTCCTGACCATGGCAACAAAACAAATACCACAAAAAAGATAGAGTCAAATTAATTTTTTGGTTTCCCATTGCATAGAAAAGTTGTTTATACTACACACTGTAGTCTATTAAGTGTATGATAGCATTGTCAAAAAAGACATACATACCTTAATTTAAAAATAATTTCTTGCTAAAAGATGCTAACCATCACCTGAGCTTTCAGTGAGCTGTAATCTCATTTCAGACAGAGGGTGGTGCCTCCCATGTCGACAGCTGCTGACTGATCATGGTGGCTGGTGGCTGAAGGCTGGGATGGCTGTGGCAATTTCTTAAGACAAGACAACAATTGCTGCATCAACTGACTCCTCCTTTCATGAATAATTTCTCTGTAGCATGCAAAGCTGTAGCATTTCACCCATAGAACTTCTTTAAAAATTGGAGTCAATCCTCTCAAACCCTGTCACTGTTTTATCAACTAAGATTATGCAATTTTCTGAATTTTTGTTGTCATTTCAACAATCTTCCAAGCATCCTAACCAGGAGTAGATTCTATCTCAAGATACCACTTTCCTTGGTCATCCATAAGAAGCAGCTCTTAATCCCTTCACGTTCGACCATGAGACTTCATCCATTTAGTCCCATCTTCAGCTCCACTTCTGATTCTATTTCTCTTGCTGTTTCCACCACATCGGCAGTTACTTCCTCCACTGAAGTCTTGAACCCCACAAAGTCATCCATCAGGGTCAGAATCAACTCCTTTCAAACTCCCATTTATGTTGATGTTTTGACTTCTTCCAGGAGAGGTACAGATTTTGCGTAATTCTTAAGGGCACTGGGATTTTTGGAATGGTACATGAGCACTGGCTTCGACTTAAAGTCGCCGGCTGCATTAGCCCTAACAAGAGTCAGCCTGTCCTTTGAAGCCAGGCACTAACCTCTCCTCTCTAGCTATGAAAGTCCTAGATGGCAACTTCTTCCAAGAGAGGGCTGTTTCGTCTACATCGAGAATCTGTTGTTCAGTGTAGCCGCCTTCATGAACGATCTAAGCCAGATCTCCTGGATAACTTGCTGCGGCTTCTACATCAGCACTTGCCCCTTTACCTTGCACTTTTCTGTTAGAGAAGATTCTCTCCTTAAACCTCATGAACTAACCTCTGCTAGCCTCAAATTTTTCTTCTGCAGTTTCCTCATTTTTCTGCAGTTTCCTCATTTTTCTGCAGTTTCCTCATTTTTCTGAGCCTTCACAGAATTGAAGTGAGTTAAGGCCTTGCTCTGGATTAGGCTTTGGCTTAAGGAAATGTTGTGGCTGTTTGATCTTCTCTCCATACCACTCAAATTTCCTTCACATCAGCAATAAGGCTGGTTCACTTTCTCATTTGCCTGTTCACTGCAGGAGCACTTTAAATTTCTTTCAACAACTTTTCCTTTGCATTCACAACTTGGCTAACTCTGGTAGGAGGGTGTAACCTTCAGTTTATTTAGAATTTTGTTATGCTTTCCTAAGTGCAATCATTTTTAGCTTTTCTTTACAAACTGAACTTTTTATCAGTTAAATAGCCCTCTTTATCTGCCTTAAAGTCCACTTTTATCTTACATATAGCCAAACCAACTTTGCTGGGTTGGTGTTTGCATGGCCTATCTTTTTCCATTCTTACAGAAAGTAAGAATGTGTGACTCTGTATGCAAAATACATTGGTTTCCTTTTGATACATTCTAATAATCTTTGGTTTTAACCAATTTGATCTGTTTGTACTTGAATTATGAAACTGCTATTACTGTAGGTCAAATACTGGCAATTTCATATGATTCACCTAATATGTACTGATCCTATAATAAATAATAAGATAAATTACTATTTGTTTTCTGTTTCTCCTGTTCTATAATCCTCTATGTCCCCTTTCTTGCCCCCTTTTAAGAATTTTTTATTTTCCCAAATTTCTCCTCTATTAACTTATCAAATATATATTCTTTTACTACTGTTAGTGATTACACCTTAGTGATTATACATACATCTAACTCATGAAATCTTACATAAATGAGTACTTTTACCATTTCCCAGACATGCAAGGAACTTGGAATACTAACTCTTATTTACTCTCTTTTCAAGTTACCTGCTATTACTATTATGTACTTTAATTCCATATATCTCATAAAGTCCTCAAGTCATTATTATTACTACTACTGTTGTTATTTTATACAGCCAATATTCACAGTTACCCACATAACTGTCTTGGCCAGTGCCCTTCATCATATCTAAAGTCATTTTCCTTCAGCCTAAATAACATCCTTTAGTGTTTACTTTAGAATAGGTCTGCTAACTACAAATTCTGTCCGTTTTTGCTAAAAAGCACCTTTATTTTGTACCACTTTTAAAGGCCATTTTCACTGGGAAAAGATTGGCAGTTATTTTCTATCATCACTGCATAGTAATTATTTCATTTTTTCTGGATTCCACTTGTTACTGTTGAAAAGTTAGTCAGTCAGTATCACTGTAGCTCCTTCGGAGGTAAAATGTCTTTCATTCTCTGGTTGCTTTTAAGATTTCTCTTTGCCTCAGCTTTTCAGTAGTTTTATCATGATGTGCCTAGGTGTGGTTTGCTCTGTATTTTTCTGGTGTCTATAGAGCTTCTTTAATTTGCACCTTGATGATTTCCATCCATTTTGGAAAATTCTCAGCCAGTCTCTCAATGAATATCCTCAATGAATTCTCAATGAGATACTGCCTCTGTGCTATTCTTTTTCCCGTCTCCTTCTGGAATTTCAATTACTCATACATAACTTGTAACCATATCCCGTAATGTCTCTCACACTTTTCCATATTCTTTATCCTTTTGTTTTTCAATGCTTCAGTCTGGATTTTCTTTTTCTGATTTTTCTCATTTCACTGATTCTCCTTTCATCTGTATCTATAGCATTAAACCCATCCACTGAGTTCTTAATTATCACTGCTCTTGTTTTCAGTTTCAGAATTACCATTTCATTCTTTATCATTTCA